AGAGCCAAAGCTAGTCCACATGTATATATGGTGACCGTGATTTCACCAAGTACAACATGTTGCTGGATAAACATCCTTGTTGATCCTGGAACATCATTCCAATCAGCCAATCAGAATTGAGTGATAACTTTTCAGGAAATATCTGTTTTAGGCTTATGATCAGGGAACATAACTACCTGAAAGGGATACATGGGCTTCATCTTAGGCTTTTTTACATTTTCTTTTCTCTGCGCCGGACTGCAGATGTCTTTTTTCCGGGCATAGTTGTCCATTATGATCATTTGCAGTCAGCAGCAAACATGAGGTGAGGGCGGGCGTGGATGCGGGAATGGCGCGTCACGTGTGCTTATAGCCTACTGCCTTCACTGTAAAATGCATTTTTATAACCTAATTATGTATATACATGTTTATATTTGTATTTATGTATATGCATACGTTAATATTAATATAGAATGAAAGTTTTTTTTGTTTTGTTTTTTTTTTTGGAGCAACTGGGATGGTGCCCCCCCTGGGAGTTGGTGCCCTACGCAAACTGCGTACTCTGCATATAGGGAGCGGTGGTACTGCTTAACATTACCGCATAGAACCTACACGTGATCCCAGACACCCTTCACTCGACATGACCCCAAACACCCTACACATGACCCCAGAAAGCATACAGTCAACATGACCCCAAACACCCTTCACATTATCCCAGACACCATACACTCAACATGACCCCACTATGCATTATCCCAGACCCTACACATGATCACTCACATCCTACAATCAACATGCCCCAGAAAGCATACAGTCAACATGACCCCAGACACCGCACACATGACCCCAGAAAACTTGCATGCTACACATGATCCTAGACACTCTAAACATGATCCCAAACACCATACACGTGTTCCCAGATGCCATACACTCAACATGACCCCAGAAACCCTACACATGATCCAGAGACCCTAAATGTGACCCCGGAAACCCTACAGGTGATCCCAGACACCTTACACATAACCCCAGAACACCAGACACCCTGTATAACCCTACACACATGCCCAAATTACCCGAAACAACACATTACACGCTACCAATACCAGGGTTGGCCAAAATTCAGTCTGTCGTCTTGTCTGAAACCTGAATACCAAGTATCACGGTCTTTCACCCCCAGCCCAAATGTCAAGCTACGCCCATGCTACCCACACACATCTCAAAACAAATTACATGATGAAAAAAACTAGGGATGCACCGATACCACTTTTTCCAGTACACGCCCGATACCGATACTTTTATTTTTGGTACTTGCCGATACCGAGTACCGATATCGATATTTGTATTGCATTTGTACATTTTTTTAATATTGGGTACAGAAACCAGAAGGGTATGTATAATGTTAGTTGGTTAACTTCATTTATCAAATAGATAGTCAAACCAAAATTTATTCAGACACTTTCAACATTTCTCACATTATCACAGTTTATTCGCTATAGTTTAGAAAATGGTAATAAAATATGACGAGAACTCAGAGTTAAACTGTATCAGAACAAATTCATCTTGATTATGTCAGATAACTTTGATAGAAAGGTATGTAATGGATTACAATCAACCAAAAATTCAGACAACTGTTAGTATGGCGCACTAGCTGTTGGCATGGCTTCATGTGTGTTTTCTGAATCATCTGTACTAGCAATGACATCTGGGGGCTGAGGGCGAGTTTCCCTGTACATGTTATCGATACCATCTGGGGAGCATGCTTTATGCTTTCTACACATGTGAGAAGTAAATGACGACTTTTTTGTAAACACGTGTTTACAACCACTTACTGGACATGACACAGACCTGCCCTCGCCAATATGATAATTTAAGTGAGACACAAGCTCTTTCACCATGTGAAAACGGCGGGCACATAATGAAACTGCGCATTTTAAATCCGCAACAACAGCTATAGGAGCAGCTTGCGGTGCATTGTTGTACTAAATCATTTACTTAACCAACAACTTACAGGACTTCTGCAGGCTGTAATGAGTTACTTGTACACTCAAGTAAGAAGCTTTTATATGAAACAAGACATCAACAGCACTATGCCTTAACAAATATCAGTACACTTGAATCAGGGAACTTTTTCCCCAGCACAAACTTGGCACAACCATTTCTTTCTCACTTTGGAGTAAAGTGGCCCTCTAAATAAAAGTGGCTTTTTATCTTTTGATTTGTATTAAAACCTCCTTACCACTGGAAACTTTATCAGGCCTCGAAAACAAATGGCTGATTACTGGGAAGAATTTATTATCTAGATTGCCTGTCTTTGACACTTACGTGCTGATATCACAGCTCTGTAGAACAGACGATGTGCTGCCTGCATGCCGTACAGTTACTTATAAGATAACATCTAAAGTCCCCGCACATACACGCCTTTTCCCCCAAACGATATAAATGTATATGAGCCAAATATAGGCCAGGACTGAAACTGAATTTTAATAGGTAGCATTTTTTTATTTTTATTTTTTTAGACATGCAATTTTTGTCAGTCAGGAGTACCACACCTCGAATATCAATCTCAGACTGTTATTGTGATCTTTGAAGGCAGGTAGTGCTGCTCATCGCCACTGAGATGCCCAATCACAAGGGCAGGCAGATGTCAACGTACTGCGATTTTTCTATGAATTATTCCACTGACATAAAGCAATAACTTAAGTCTTTTTTCCCTAAAGCCTACATCAGCTCACAAACATGTTGCTATCATCATGGCAGAAGCCTTTCAGCCTCCTGCAAGACCTAAAAATGCATTAGGTGCCAACATTACCCGGTGAATTACAGGTGCCTCAGCTAGATCAGCTCGTGACAGAGGTTGGCATCACTCCAGGCAAATATAAGACCCACAGGTTAAATCTGCTAGTGATCAGACTAAATGGGGCTCCATTTAGGTATAATTAAGCTGCCCTCAAGCACATGTGATTTAGGTGGGAATCGATCAAGACATTTCCTGTTTTCTCCCTCTCATAGAATGGTACGAATGAAGTCGTGGCATGGGAAATGTTGTCGTGATGAATTTCATGACTGCTGGACTAATGCCTCTCTGCAAGAGCTCAGAAAATGATAAATATTAATGCATATCATTCAGCTCTAGTTTAATGGGCCTGCCCTCCGTCATCTTAGTAAGCTTTTGATAACATACTCTGATTTGCAGACTAACAGCTGGTTTCTTACAGCCCACCAATTCAGAATAAGCAAACAGGGTTTAAAATCAAATAATAAAAAGTCAATTATAGATGATGAAATGTATGCCACACTCAGACTACAGGTAAAACTGATAATGGGAAAGAATTGAAAGTAAAGTTATAAACTACAGTCATGGGCAACACTTAACACTCTTTTTTTTTTTTTTTGTGACAATATGTCATATACAGTATATTTGGTTTTGTTGTATTTATGCTTTCATTTTTATTATGCTAAAAGTATTTGGATACCTGTGCAACACTTCAAGGGATAGTTCACCCAAAAATGAAAGTTCAGGTCATCATTTACTCACCCTCATGTTGTCTTAAACCTGTATGACATTTTCTTCTGTAGAACAGAAAAGGAGATGTCAAGAAGAATAGAGGACTGACAGCCTCAGTCTCCATTCAGTTTCATTGCATCTTCTAAGATGGTGATTGAGGGGCCATTTGCACACACGCTTTTCTATTGTTTTTCTATGTTAACATTTTTTGCAGTGTCTCACGCATTATGTGGTGGTCTAAAAACACGGCTCTAAATTAAAATAACTTTTAAAAAAATTATTTCTAGACTTTTTTTATTCCATTGCCCTGCATCTTCTGTTTTTAAATGCAAAAATGTGTTCTATGTAAATGGCACCTAAAGGCGTGTTTACACTTTGGTTGAGGTTTGGTTGGATTAAAATTAACTCTGGTGCGATTGCTCAGTGCGGTTCATTTAAATAATTAAAATAATTAAACGCTGCCTTTGAACCTTGCTGCGCACCAAACAAGTGGACTGCGCTTTTCCACTCAAAAAAAAGGTTTGTGTCTCCATGTTCGGTGTTGTGAATGCTAAGCGAACCACAACTAAATGTTTCATTTACTTTTATGGTCCAGACCAAAAGAACCAAACTACAAATATAAACACACCATTAGACTGTCAGCCATGAACACTAACATCTCTTTTGATGGCCATATTTTCATTTTCAGAATATCACAGCATTTATTTATTATAGCACAAACATACAGTGGGTACGGAAAGTATTCAGACCCCCTTAAATTTTTCACTCTTTGTTATATTGCCAGCTTTAGTAGGTGTTAAATGGTAAAACAATAAATATGGTGTTTAAAGTAATGAAATTCAAAACATATTTGGAGAATTAACATTATATACAGTATCCACTAAAAATCTCCTTGACAATTATGTGTTTAAATGGTAAATGTTGATTATTTTTATTTATTTTTTTTTACCGTCAGCAGCAATGAAAACCAGACTGTATGTCCGATACAATAAAAACTTTTGCTTATTGCAATCAACAATTTAACAGTATCAGCAGGGTCAGTGTCTGTGTTATTTGCAAACTTTAGCATTCGCGAAGTAAACCAGACACTAGGGAGGACTTAACATCAGCCTGAGGCACATTATGAGACTTACTGAACTTTCTAGAAATTCCTAATGAGGGTGAGAGTGGAGCTAATAAAACATCAAACAGGATAACGGCTCTTCAGCTAGTCACAGTTGACATTTCTCCAATAATAATCATTTGTGCTTTTAATAAACAAACTCCAGGGAGGTGTGCACTGGCTGACCTCTCATTTATTCTGTAATTATGTGTGAGGCTGAGGAGAATCTGAAGACACGCTCTAGTCAATAACTATTGAAGCTATTCAAATTATCATCAAATTGATGTGTTTTTGCAGTTTGGTCGGCTGTCCCCTACAGTAGAGTTGGATCTCTAAGGTGGCACAGAACGTGTTTACTCTGATCTCTGCCAGAAAAGCACACACAAAGAACAGCACAACATCATTATGAGATTGGCCTTTTGCTACAAAGTTGCCAAGCATCTGTAGATCTGCTCTTGTTCTCAACTCACTTACATGCAGACATCAACGTGAGTCGCCCACCACATACACCATGATCGGCCACCTGAGCCCTAAAACGACCAAGCTCTGTAATCTTTAAGCAGCAAGCACACATGCACCGTGACTCCATTCGCACCTCGCACGCTGAGCCACAAAGCAGCGTTCCACAGACTGCACGCCCTGTTTTGAAAGTGAAATAAGAGGCATTAGTCAAATAAAGCGCCCACACAGTCAGTGAACTGTTTATAGAGCTCTGTTAGCATTCTAACCATCAGCAAACAGCCAATACCCGCCATTACACCATAAGTAGCCTGAGCGATGAAACATGGACCTGCAGGCCGAAGATAATGCATTTCAATGGTGTGCAGTGCTGGACAAAACTACCTAAAGCCACAGTTTAAAGTTAGTGAGGAAATTGCCCCCAACCATCTCCATGTTTGATTTGTGCACTCAGGAATGTTCCAGTAATTGTTAAAGAGCAGTAATAGGTATTGTTAGAGTTGTTCCGTGCTTTTGTAAAAAAGGGACACCGGCATCCTGAAATACTGACAAGTGAATCACGCCGTTTCACTGACCAAGCCATGCTGTCAGCCCCAGGCATTGACCCATCACAAATGGAAATGTACATGAGGATTTGACAGGTGATTTCTCTTCCTGGCATTCTGACGTTTGGAAAGGAAAACAAAAAACCAATAAGATCACCTCAAGTTCTACACAGTTTGTATTTAACTCTTCACCTAACAGTAAATTGGACCCCATTTATTTTGTATGTAATTTACAAGCAATTTCTGAGTGAACATTTTAAATAAATGTAAATCCTACATTTTTTTTAAATGAGATTTGGAATGACGACTAATGAGTTTTATGTAAAAGAGCATGTAAAGTTATTTGTGCATAACCTAATTAATAATCTTGAGTGTTTGCCATTTGATGACGTCACAACCAGCAGGTCTGCATGTACATATTCAGCGGTATCATGCGGTTCTCATCGCCATGCTGATGGATACATTTAAATTACCTGTCTGCCCATTACACCAGACAGATAAATTAAACTGAAGTGGGGCCTAATCTCTATCTCTCACAGACTCACACATAAGCACACACATTCTCATCTCCCATTTCAGCACAGTCTGACAGTGACTCCCCAAAGGCTGTGTCACTTTAATTACTTCCCTACCAATTAGAGAGATGCTACAAAACTGTTTGATTAAATTCTATACTTATACTTTGAATCATGTTGTACATCTTTTTATTAACCCTTCTTACCGATGAATACACTCTCTCACTCAACTTTCTTTCAATTAGAAAACTTCCTCAGCAGAAGGATGCATTCGCTTCTTGTGCTACTTTTGCTGTTCTTCTCTCTTCTTCTGACAAACTTCATGATTTGTTGATATTTATTACAAAATTAACCAAATCACAACAGAGGATAATGGCTTGTGATCTTTTTTTTTAATTAAAAATGACAGATTATATTTTATGCATAAATATAGTGTTAACAATAACAATCATTGTTCATGGATAACTTTCCCTTCCACTTTGAAATAGACTAAAAAAAAGTCACATGGACATCAAAAATGGCATGTTGATACCATGGGATGTCAAACGCTTTTGTTCTCGCATGTCTTGTGATCAAATGTCAGATGTTAATGGCACTATATTAGATTTGAGATTTTAAATTTCAGCCTGATCTGCACACAAAGCTATTGTAGGGTTTCAAAAACTTGTAATATAGTGCATGATTTATAATCATTTTATGGTGCTTTTTTGTTATTTTGGAGCCTAACAGCCCCTGTCCCCTTTTACTATATGGAAAATAGTAGCCAGGATATTCATTAAAAAATGACCTTTTATGTTCCACAGAAGAAAGTAAGTCATACCGGTTTGGTTTGGAATGACATGAAGGTGAATAAATGGTGACAGAACTGTCATTTTTGGTTGAACTGCTCCTTTAAGTGCTGGTGCGAAATTGTGTGTGTGTGCTGCTGTAATTCTCATAGAAGGAATGCAGAGGCCAAGGCCACAGAGTGCACATACACACAGACGCTTTCACACACTCTTGAAGGAGGTGAGATTTTCGCTCAGTGTCCACTCTATAGCTCACAGCGAGGCAATCCCTCTTTATGTGTCGAGCCTCTCACACTCGCACACACATGGATGTGATCTCACAGACACACACGGAGGAGCAGGCAGGCAGAACGGTCTAGTCATCTCCTATAGGCTGTGTGGAGTGGGTGGGTGGTGGAGGCCACAGCCCTCTGTATGATTATGATTAGTATGAGTCGCGAAAGCACATAGCCATGAAGGGCACAGTATCCACACATCCGTCTCCACACCTTTTCCACTATCATTTATGATCTATATAGAGCATTCCATTAGACTCCACAGATAGCAAAGACATAAAACCTAAAACGTCTCAGAAAGATCGCTATCTACGTGACAGCTTATTGCTGTTTGTCTTCATCAAAACTCTGATTGGCTGCAGTGTACGATGTCTTGCTTTCAGAACCCTGTACTGTTGGGGAGACTGGGGGCAATTGTAACACTAAATTTCTTAAATCAAAAATATGAGGCGCTAACTATATCGCACGTGAGTTCTTCCTCTGCCTGAGAGTGGGATGTCATGAAATTTTCTGGGTTGGAAAAATCCAATATTTTTCTTTCCATTTTATGCCTTTGAACACAAATTAATTTCTCTCTGGTGATAAATTACCATGAATAACATGCTAACGACAACATTTTATTGCAGCTGTGAGGTCGAGGCCAACATCAAATATGAAATCAAAATTTTATGATTGAATTAAAAGTGTGATCTCTACAGTTTTGTAATCACTTTGGTGCTATTTTCACAAGAATGTGTGAGAACCAATCATTGTAACACAGCTAGATGCTCATTCAAAACCTGCTATTGTGCCTTCATTAGGGTTGTAAATATTTCCTTTCATGCGACCATTGTTTCAAAACATAATGAGAACATTTGATTTAATCAGCATAATGCAGCAGAATTATCTTTCTGTTTAGTCATTTTAATCGTCAATTCAATAGCAAACAATGCAAGAGACAGGTTTCAAATAACCCTCACAGGAGCTGAATGGTAAATGTTATATTTCTGTAGTTTAAGATACAGGCATCACATTAGGAAATGCATTTAAAATATCAAACCAAACTGACATGATGTCTATAGTTCCTGTAATATTGTGTTACATTATCACAAATGTGTTATCATTGAAGACATGACAGATGTGTCACTTCTGACAGAAGAACAATGTATATTGTTAACACTGTAAATCATACTGAAAATGCAGTGAATCAGATGTAATGACATTTTTTTTTTTTTTTTTTTTCTTTTACTGTTCCTACAGTATGCCTGAATTGATATAGGACTTGAACTTTTCACACTGGGTGATTTACTGTATTTAGTGAGCGTCTGTTTATCACAGAACATGCTGAAAACTAATTCATTTGATACTGTGCAACAGTTCCCTGCCCTCTGATGCTCACCTCTGTGACAGGAGCCATGTCAGCCTCTTGACCTCTCTGATGGGTCTCTTGATTTGATTGGTTTATCCTCACTCCAGTCTATTCTGCTCTGTGCTGCAAATGCTCTCCCACAAATTATGATCTGTTGATTGATTAGCACCAAAAGTTTCGAAAATGTACCTCTTATTTAAAATAGTGCCAAATCTGGGGGAAAAGCTGAAATATTTAATTTGGATGAAAATAAATAGTATCATATAAAGATGAATTCAATGATATTTTTAAGTATTAAAGCAATATATTTTCCCTTTGAAGGGATGTAATGTGTTATTTGAGATATAGTGGATTAATATCGTATAAAGTGACAGTAAAAAATGTTACTATATTGTGACCCTGGACCACAAAACCAGTCATAAGTCGCTTGGGTATATTTTTAGAAATAGCCAAAAAAAAAAAACATTTTATGGGTCA